GCTGTCTTGGTCCCACTAAATCGGGGCAGCAACTTTTGCATGTGGGTGTCCTCAGGGCTCCCTTGAAACAGCAAGGTCTCCTTTACTGAGCTAAAGAAACCTCCCATTGCCCCATGCGTGGGCCCTGTAGGACCTCAATCAAAAATGGCCTAACTGCGGGGACCAGGACGGCCACCATGCTTCATGTGCCTTTGTGTGCACACAGCCTTTTGCGACGGCTGTTGAGGTAGGTGTCACACGGGACACGGGACTGAGACACAGCTAGCCAAGAGCATGCGTGCTGCCACATACCAGCTATTCGCTCAGCTCGGGGCGCTGTGCTCCCAGGAACCGCATACAACATGAGGGGGCTGGTTCCCTCGCGTCCTAGCCCAGGGTAAGAAGTGCAGGAAGGCCCCTTCTGTGCTCTTACAGCAAGAAGAAAGAATCCCTTTAAAGTAGGCACAGCTCTCAAGTGTGCTGAGAGCCAGGCTGCTTTCTACCCCAGGGCACATCAGTTATACCCGTACAGACAGACTCTTCTGGAAGATGCTAAAACTCATCAAATAGCCGTTGGAGGGTCCAGGGGAGCCGCGAGGAAGGAGAGAGGTCAGGCTGCGCCCTGGCTGCCGCTGAGTGGTCACTAGCTCGCCGACGTCCGGAACACCTTGCACGGGCCATTCTGCGCTTCACCCAGGGCCTCCTTCCTGCACCGCCCCCAGGCTTCTGGAAGTGCGGTGGGTACAGAGCTGGCATGGAGGACCCCCGGGAGGCTGACTGGAGGGCTCAGTGCCAGGTTCTCTGCAGGAGAGGCCGCGTCTGACCCCGAGCCTAGCTGGCTGGCCCCAGAGGTCTCCAAGGAGGCCCAAGCTGTCCCCATGTCTTAGTCAGCACGGAGGGAGACTCAGGACAGAGGCTGAGATGGTCCTCTTGTGGTCTCAGTGGAGTCTGACGCCTTTTGTTATTTAAAAGTTGAGAAAATAGGAAGAACTAGCCTTAAAAGTGCCATGCTGACCAGTGGGCATTCTCTGCACTCACTGCCAGAGCAGGGCTCCCCATGCTGGAGCTTCTCGAAGCTTCTGGCGCCTCTGTCGCACTTGTTGCTGTCTGGAAATCCAGCAAGGGCTGCATGCACCCTTCGAGGCTCTGTGGGGAGCCCAGGGCTGACCGCTGCCGTCCGTGCGAGTGGCCATCAGGGATGTCGCTGACGTGAACGGGAACGTGCGGTTTGCTGCCTGTGGCTGGATGTGGACAATGTCCGAGTGCCTCTCGAGCCGAGGTCACTGTGGGCTCTTTTCTGCTCCGTGAGGACATCACGGCTGTCCTGCAGGCCCTCGGTGCGCTTGGTCACTGCCGAACTGCCAGGCGAGCTGTGCAGACAGCAGGGGTGAGGAACCGCTGCACATCGGCCATATGCCATCCACACAGGATGGAGGACTCCCCGGAACACTGGGTTTCTGGGCCACGTCTGCCTGGTGGCATTCGTCTCAGAGCGAGAGGCGTGTGGTCAGGGAGGACCCTGAACCTCAGACAAGCCACGCCCTCGCGCACCATCGGCTGCCGGAGCGGTCCTTCCAGGAAAGAGCAGTGTATGATGTGTCCTGGGGCTCCGGGCTGCCCGTGAGGTCGGAGCGCCTCTGTGCTGTGTCGGACGTGCAAGTACCGTCATGTGCTTCTGATCCCTGGGACAGGTGGGCGGGCCACCTGTCCCCACTGCTGCCTGGCAGTCTTTGATTGGCTCTCTAATGAAAAACCACCACTAAGCGCATACTTTTTAAAACGGATGTCCTGATCCTGACTTCTCCTGGTTTTTATAGTTAAAGACTCACGTTGTATTGGCCTTGTTACTGCTGCGTTTTCACAATGCTGATCTTGGGAGCTCTAGGAGTGGCAATCCTAATCACTCCTTAATAGCAAATAGTAACGCGCTCAGGAAAGTGCACTCTGGAGACGGGGTGGAAAGGCATCTGGGGTACAGCCAGGCCGTGGAAGCTCCAACCAGTGTCCAGAAAACCCCATGGAGGCAGGGTACCGCAGACTCGGTCCCCTCTGGCTGGAGGGACGGCTGCATGTTGTTCCCGGGGACAGGAAGAGGGGGAGCTGCCCGCCTCCCCGTATTCTAGAGCCCACAGCCAGCATTGCTTTCCCAGCCAGACTGAGGCGAGAAGTGGATCTGTTTTTCAATTTTGCCAGAGGGTACGCTTGCCAAAGAGAGACTGAGACACTGTGAGGGAGAGGGAGGGGGAGGAAGCATCCCCCATGGGGAATGGTCACGCCACAACCCTTCCTCCTCCTCCTCTCTACTTCCTTTCGGAGTCAGGAAAACACGCACACAGACCCGGCAGGTTTCTCAAGCCACCGGGACCAGCACTGGAACCACAGGGCTGGCTAGATGGGATCTAGCTGCCTACTCTTAAGGCCATAGAGTTGACCCAAGAAATGGGCCTTAAGGCTAAAATATTATTTTAGATGTTGAGGAAACTATCTTATATACAGAGCAGAGAAGGAGAGTTAACTATGTGAATCTGTAAGAAAATAATGAACTATTGTGAAATCCGGGACTAAGTCAAACTGCCACCTGAAGGACATCACATCCCTGAGGTGGCCAAGGGGACTGCCCTCCCCATCCTGGGCTAAAGCTACACCTGCAGTCCAGGGGGCACCCCCTACCAGCAAGAGTTAACAGATAAAGTGTCACATTTTTAAAAAGCAACCCAGGGAAAGACAGAGGAGCTGCCCAAGGGGCTGAGGACATGGACAAACCATGTGTCAGCTTGTCCCTGAAAGGTCCATGGTGCCCACGGAGGGCCTGAGAGGTTGGTTCCAACAGGGGTCGAGGGGAGAGAAGTGGGAAGCGCACCGCTTCCAGCCTGTCTTGTTCCTGCCTACCACGATGCCAGCTGTAAAGCCCAGGGGCTTGTGAGCTGCAGCATGCTGGCATCATTTCCACGAGCCTGAAGTGGGCTATCCCACGTGTTAGAACCATGGAAACAGTGAGCTGAAAACGAAATAGCGGCTGCATTCTGCTAGCTTACGATCAGACAGTGCTTCCGAGTCCCGAACCTGTGATTAAAAAGCAGCGTGCTGTCTTTCTTCGGGTTCAGGAAGCGGAACTGAAGTCTTCCAAATAAATATTTTCCTACTCTTAAATTAACTAACCTTTGGATACATCTAGATTTATGGGATTGTAAAAATTGTTAAAAAGTGCTGAATTAGTTTTCAAAATTATGAAGGAGCACAACCATCCAGGGTGGTAACAAGGGAGGACAGAGCGCGGATTTGAGGCTACCCTTAGACAGCAGATTACCATGTGCTGGGGTGTGTGCGCTGGCTAGCGCTGGCACGCTAAAACCAGCCGGCTGAGCACCTCTCTCCCTAATTTTCCAAATCCTGGCCGAGCCGCTCCTCACCAGTGTCAGTACTAGGCACGCTCTCATGAGCTCTGTTAGAAGAAAGACCTGGCAGAGAATTACCAGAGCTGGGGCTTTCTCATCTCTAAGGCTTCACGCGGTAGGTACTTGTGCAAAACCGAGCTGGCCGGCGTCTCCTCTGCAGTGCTGCCAGCTCCGAACCCTGGGAAGCTGAGGACGGAGGCGCCGTCAGTACATGTCCCGGTAGATCTCCTGCAGCAGCGGGTGCAGGGCGGCATCCGACTCCGTCTTCTTGATGATCTGCACCAGCTGCGCGTGCTCCGTGACCAGCTGCCGCAGATCCGCCATTTTCTGCAGGAGTTTGGGGAAGAGGAAGCTGTCGTCCGGGTGGTTGGTCTGCAGGTGGAGCTTGAGCACCTGCACGATCCCCTCCTGCATCTTCTCAATGTGTCCTACGTTGAGGAGGCCTGGGCGATCTACCCTCAAAAGAAGAAAGAGACGTCTGAGTGTGAGAATCACCCAGTAACTGATTACTCGTGGGAGGGGTCAAGCATTCCTATTTTGACACAGGCCTTTCACAGGAAAAGCTGAGTTGCCTTGAGATACTGACACTCTGTCTCGAAGACAAAGGTGGATTTTTGAGGCATGGCCTAGTAGGGGCAGACGAGACAATACTTTTTCCTAAGCGTTCACACTGCAAGTCATGTAAGCCTCAGTCATGTTCAGTGCGGCCCTGTCATTTCAGATTTTTCCCATTGGACCTGTCAGGGAAGAAAACCGAAAGCCGTAGCAGTAACTCCATTCTGATGAAGATTTTTTTTTTGAAGAGATTTTCACTGTAGGGCGCGTGCGCTCGCCAGACAGACAGAGAGAGACATAGAGACAGAAAGCGAGAAATCACCTCCCAGGGGGGATGGTCACGCCGCAATCCCTTCTCCTCCATTCTCCTCTCGGGATCTTGGGCACGCACGCACACGCGCCCGGCGTGAGTTTTAAGCCACCGGGTCCGGGACACGAACCGCGGTCGACTACGTGGGAGTCCAGCGACATAGCCATTACGCTAACTGCTGGTTCCCCCATTCTGATGAAGATTTTGACAGCTGCCTTTGTATAAAAGGGAAAGGAAGTTCCGAGTCGAAACCGTATTTGGCTTCAAGCTTCCCTACTACTTGTTAAGGCTGTGGTTATGGCAGGGGCAGGGCGGGTGCTGCGGGACCCGAGGCGCTAACACGAGCCGGGAGGAAAGTGAACGGGCGGACCCCGAGCTGAAAGGATGCCCGGGTCTCCCCAGAGTAGGGAGGGGATGGGCAGGTCTGAGGCTCAGGGCAGGCAGGCGGTGACCGTCTCTGACCCGAGGCCCCCAGAAACTGCTGCCAGTGGCATTCAACAGGTAGTGCCTTCTCGGGAGCCCCAATTCTTTCTTTGTTTATTTAATTTTTGCTATGTGCTCACTGTAGAGACAGAGAGAAGAGAGAAAAAGTGAAAAGCATCCTCCTCGGAGGGTGGATACGCCACATCCCTTCTCCTCCATTCTCCTGGGATTTTGCGTACATTTTTATTTATCTCTCTCTCTCTCTTTTTCTATAAAGATGTTCTCCTATTTATTTATTCATTTTTAAGGTTTTTGCCACAGGTCACGTGCACTCATTGGAGAAAAACAGAGACAATAAAGGGAAAGTGAGACATCACCCGCCCTGGACAAGGGGGATGGCCGCAACACAGTCCCTTCTCCCCCATTCTCCTCTTGGGATTTTGGGTACACACGCACGCATACCCTGTGTGATTTTTAAGCTGCCAGGTCCAGGACTTGAACTGAAGTTGACCATGTGGGAATTCAGCACCTTAAGCACCACTCCACCTGCTGGCCCTGCCTGGTGCGTTTTCAAGCCACCAGGCCTGGGACTCGAACTGGGCAGGTGGCCATGGTGCCGTACGTGCCTGCCGCAGTTCACCGTGCGTCTCAGCAGACGCTTCTCCATATGTATACCCGGGGCTGACACAGGGTCATGGTGTCCTTCCTGAGCGTGCTCTTGCTGCATCTTTCTCACAGTGCTCCATCTGGATGGGGCCAAAGGGTGGTGAGGACCGAATGTGGCTTCTTTGACCTCTTATCCTTTCTGCCAGAACCCAAAGACGTCTCCATGTGGTGAGTGCCCCTGGGAAGGGAACGGGGCTGGCTCTCTGCCCTCAGCCTCAATTCTGAGAGTAAGTCACGGGACAGCATGGCTTCTGGTCTCCTCGGGGCAGTCACCCCATCAGACTCCACCAAGGCCGATAAAGCTGGTGGAGTTTACAGTAGAGAAATGACCTTCCTATACCCGAGACAGGGCTATTTAAGGAAATGTGACATGGAGCCAAAAATCTGGGGGCTGCAGAGCCAGCTTCCACAGAGAGCCCTGACTCCCCTCCCTGGGACCTGCTTCCTCTGGCAAAGCAGACCTTGCGGCCGCTGCCAGTCAGCCACGGTAGTTTTCATTATGCAACTGCGTAAATCTAACCAGCCGTGACAGCACCGGCCGACGTCTGCATGGCTTTATGGAACACCGCCTGTAATACGGGCACAAGTCGGTACGGCAGCTCCATCACAGCAGTGTCGTGTATAATCGCTCCATCACAGACTCGTCCGAACGACAGTAGCATTAGGATGTAGAGACAAAGGATGGTGGACATAACTTTTGGTGGAGCATACTTACGTTTCATAACTATATTCCCATAATACGTAAATACGCACTCAGAAAGTGTCACGACACACGGGAACCCTATGCAACACTGGTACCGCTCATGACTCCTGCTTGGCTGCAGCTGGGACACAGCTGTCTCCCTGGCTGCCAGTACCCCTCCAATGCAGCATGACCAAGCTGTATCAGATTCCTTAGTGCCACCTTCTTCCAGACGAGCCCGTTAGCGGTGCAGCGCCAGCAGGCCCAGCCGCCCACTCACCTCCACAGCAGATGATGGCGGCCACGAACAGGGAGATGTCGCTGTCGTCCAGCTCCAGCGCGTTGAACTTCATGGCGAAATCGAACTTGGGCTCCATGATGTCACAGAACGGCTTCCGTAGGCTCTTGAGGAATTCCCGCGTTATGAAACCGTTCCCATAGGCGACCAGCATCCCGTCCTTATTCATGACTGACGACAGCATGGCGAATATGGCCTCGTACACGCCGTACTTTAGCAAGGTCACTTGATCGTTCAAGTCCAAACTGGCGAACCCCGGGATGGCCTTGGCGAACTCCGTGAGCTCTGTGACGGTCTCCACGGACGTGCACTGGCAGCAGTGGAAGATGCGCACCTCCGCCTCCTTGTTCTGGATGCCATTGGCCACCAGCTTGGCCACCAGCGTCTTCTCAGCCATGCACAGCGTCTCCATGTCGTGGATGACGAAAGGCTACAAGGAGAGACACTGAAGTCAGCCAGGCCATCTGTGTCCCATTAATGTCCTCCTATTAACATGCTACTGAGCGGCCAGCAGGTGCCGCTGAAGTTGAGGCTCTGGATGTTACATGGCTGCCTTCAAAGTTTGAGTCCTGGACCTGGTGGCTTGGGGGTCATGCCAGGTGTGCGTACCCAGACTCCTGGGAGGAGAGTGGAGAAGAGATTGTAGCATGGCCATCCCCCCTGGGGGATGACCTCTCACTTTTCTTCTCTCTCCCTCTCGCTGTCTCTGGTGAACACACACACCTTATAGGAAAAACAAAACCTAGGAGAAAATAAGCTAATGAGTTGCTAGGATGTCCAGATCACCAAGCTTGGTGCTGTGGAGAACTCGAAGTAGGCACGAAACACAGTCCGTACCCTGAGGCGATCTCAAAATTAGGGCAAAATAAGACACTAACAGAAAACGAACTATAAATCGGTAAGATAAATACTGTCGTTGCTTGACACTGGGTGGGAATTTCATTGCTCAGAGGCTGAAGTACTGATCTTACGAGAAAGCCAACACGTGAATATTAGCAAAGCACCTTTAATGTTTTATTGAATCGCCTGGATTCCTAAATAGAATTACCGTAGCCTTAACTATGCTAATTGTTCATTTACCACCTTCTGAACCCAGAGGTAACCGTCACGTAACACTGAGGATAAATGACCCTGACGCGGAAACAAGCGTGGCTCGGAAAGCGGGCATCTGCGTCGGAGTAAGGGACCGGCATTGCTGAGCTCTTTGGGACAAAGTGGGCCCATCTCGTCTCCACCCGTGTGAGATCAAAGTCTTCATGTCGGTGCACTGCGCGCTGGGCGGGTGCCAGCTCTCCGTGTGTGGCCACCCCGTCTGCATCTAAACTCATTGGCCACATGTGATGACCCCGTGGTGGGAGAAGAGGTGGGTGGCCACATTACTGGAAAGCAGCATGCTGCAGAGGGACCACGTATGTCTGCTGGGCCGAGGACGATGAGCAGGACGTGCAACCTCTGCGTGCCGAGCACATGACGGAAGCAGAGGGATCACTCTGGTTTCTTAATCTTTTTTTTTTTTTTTTTTTTGAGAGGTTTTTGTTATAGGGTGCTTGCCAGAAAGACAGAGAGAGACAGAGAGACAGAAAGCGAGAAATCACTCCCCAGGGGGGATGGCCACACCGCAATCCCTTCTCCTCCATTCTCCTCCTGGGATCTTGGGCACGCACGCACATGCGCCTGGTTTGAGTTTAAGCCACCGGGTCCGGGACTCGAATAGCGGTTGACTACATGGGACTCCAGCGACATAGCCGTTACGCCAACTACTGATCCCGATCACTCTGATTTCTAGCCCGGCCCACAGCACGCAGGCACAGGTCGATAACACAGTGGACCAGGGCTTGCTTTCCAATCCCTGCTGCCACACTGGAACACAGGGTGCGAAACAGCACCATGGGAGGGAGAGAAAGATAGAGGAAGGGAGCAAGGGAAGGAGGGAGGTGGGCAGAAGGAGGGAGATGGGGCATGTCACGTTGCAGTCTCCTCTCCATCCTGTTGAGATTCTGGGCATACATGGACAAGCATCCAGTGTGTTGTTTCAGCCACTGGGACTGGGATTTGAACCGTGCAGTCAGCCATATGGGATCTGACTCCTTTAACCACCAGTCCACAGGACTGACCCTTATTATTATTCTTTGGCATGACAACTGAAGGACTAGTGCAGGACGACTATGGAATTTGCAGGGCCCAGAGCAGGATGAGACTGTGAGGCCCCTGGGGGACAGACGGCAGGACCTTCCTGACAACAAGAGCAGAGCATGCACGCCCAGGTGTGCACCCTCCTTGGTGCCGGGCCTCGTGCAGCCGGCCCCAGACTAGTTTAATGGAATGAAAGTCCATAAATGGGGACTTGTATGGGAACAAACATTTAATTCATATTTATAGAACTGTCACTTGGATTTTAGAAAGAAAGCCTCACTTAACAGGCAGAGCATGGAGCATTTGAATTTAAAATGAGTGCTAGCAGTAAGAAACTGACGTTTGTTAAAGCTGGAGAGAAGCCGTGTAGTTAAATCCCACTTGGAAATTCACCAGGTTTTGGTTAAGGCGGCAGGATCCTATATGGCTAACCATATGGTTCAAGCCTCAGACCCGGAGGCCTGAGAAACATGCTAGCCTGTGTGTATGCATGCCCCAAAGGAGGGGAGAGGGAGAGGGGATTACAGAGTGATCATTCCCCTGCGGGGCATGCTTTCTTATTTTTCCTCTCTGTCTCCTGCAAGTGCATCGTCCCCTCTGGCTAAACAGAGAATTAAGAATCTGAGTTAGATTGCACTGTAAACCAAATGGACTGCATTTGGCATTTATAAAACATTTCATTCAGCAGATGCACGATACATGCTCATCAGCACCCTGGAACATTCTCTAGGATAGATTATACGTAAGGCTACAAAATAAGCCTCAACAAAAATTTAGGCATTGCTGAGCTCTTTGGGACAAAGTGGGCCCATCTCGTCTCCACCCGTGTGAGATCAAAGTCTTCATGTCGGGGCACTGCGCGCTGGGCGGGGGGCAACTC